AGCCAGCAACAGGTGAACATTTGCACATTTTTTGTATATACGCATGTTTATACTTGTAATACGGATTATTGTATATGAAGGGAAGAAAAATTTGGAGGAATAATCGACAACATAAAAAACCCAAAATGTAGAAAACAAATTCACGTCAATTCTTTGGTATTGATGGTAGCGTTTACTCCTTCAAAATTTCGGATCGTTGTTTCAACAATTTAGGTGCCCTACTTACTTCTAATAGCAATAGTATGGTTCCTGCAATTGTTAACTTCCGGTATTGTGGTTTGGTTGGATTAGAATGTTGTGGAAAGAAGATGACGGTTGCAAGCCCAAGAGATATATTTTAAGTCCAGTTTATCAATTTTAAATCAACTGGGAAGCAAACCTCAACTAACGTTTTATTTTAATGGAGAACTGTACTGTAACCAGATTCTAAAGGAATGCCAGGTACTGCAAAGGTTTGAAAGTATATATGACTGGGCTACAACATATTTATAGCCACAACATCGATAAGCTTATTTTAACTCTAAGTCAAGAGAAATAAGAGTTCATCTTAATACAAATCTATGCTGATTAAGCCTACCTCACCATTATGAATAAGCATACGAAGTTTGGCCAAGACGCTATAGAAAAGCAAATTGTATACAGATAGATGTGCAGACAGACAATCGATGGACTAAGCTTCGATAACAAGTTTGGTAATCTCACCGTCATTCTTCCAGACTGACAAGATGTTTAAACTAATCACGAATAGATAAAGCGAAATAAAACTACTTTTAGACAACATTCTGTAATCCTAAATCTTAATTTCTGGAATGTTACTAGCATTTATTAGAACTGAATTTGTAAGGAATCGCTACATGTCTGATCATGTTTATTTTGGTAATATCAACACCGGGAAATATAACACATTAACTAATGGAAATATAAAATACTATTTAATTTATCATTTAGTAATGAGTTATAGTATTATTTTACTGACATTTAAACAATAACGATCTGGATACATGTCAAACTAGCAATCGTGATCATAATAACTCGTAACTCAATGTTCATTTATTTATCAATACCAGTTTAATATAATTAACCACCAGACCTTATTTTGAATGTTATTCGGTAATTGTTCTGTACAGACATTTATTATTCATTTTTATTACCCTTACTTTACCGTATATATTCCAGTAAAATATCGGATGGCGGGGCTCTTTCTCAGTTGATAAATATATTGCTCTACAGAAGGAACAAAAACATAGAAAAGGTATAGAAAACAATAGATCCCTCTTCTATTAGTATCTAGTAAGAAGAAGGAGAATGTGAGAAGATAAAGGAGAAGGAGTGGAGTAAGAAGAAGGAGAATATGAGAAGATAAAGGAGAATGTGTGGAGTAAGAAGAAGGAGAATGTGAGACGATAAAGGAGAAGGAGTGGTATAAGAAGAAGAAGGAGAATGTGAGAAGATAAAGGAGAAGGAGTGGAGTAAGAAGAAGGAGAATGTGAGAAGATAAAGGAGAAGGAGTGGTGTAAGAAGAAGAAGGAGAATGTGAGAAGATAAGGGAGAATGGGTGGAGTAAGAAGAAGGAGAATGTGAGAAGATAAAGGAGAAGGAGTGGTGTAAGAAGAAGAAGGAGAATGTGAGAAGATAAAGGAGAATGGGTGAAGGAAGAAGAAGGAGAATGTGAGAAGATAAAGGAGAAGGAGTGGTGTAAGAAGAAGAAGGAGAATGTGAGAAGATAAAGGAGAAGGAGTGGGGTAAGAAGAAGGAGAATGTGAGAAGATAAAGGAGAAGGAGTGGTGTAAGAAGAAGAAGGAGAGATTTGACTATGAAAAAATAGAAGGTGAGGGAGAATGGGAGGTAAGAAAATAAAGGAGAAGGAGTAGGGTAAGAAGAGGTAAGAAGATGAAGAAATAGGTAACAAGAAGACGTACGAGAAAGTAAAGAGATGGCGGGGAAATCAAAAAGATAAAGGAGAAGGTGGGAAGATAAAGGAGTTCAGGAAGGCACAGAAGCTTGGAGTTAAGTGAGAAGACGAGGGGCGATGATTATAATGATAAACAAGGGGCGAATACAATAAATGTGTATAATACGCTGTTCAAGCAATACTAAAACCACCTATTGATGTCAATCTTTCTGTTCATATAGGTTCTATTTTGACTACGTGACAGATTTTATGTGCACTTATCGTCATACACGGTATTAATATTTGTAATTTACATGCCGTTACCCCGGATTAAATGCACGTCCATATTTTCATGTATAGTTAATGTTTATAATGTTGTTATCGGTTACAATGGTATTCAATCAAATTAGTAGTCACAATAATGTTCAATGTATGTCTCTTTTATTCATAGTTTTATTTCAGTTTTATTAACCATTCCGTTCGAAACTTACCAGATATTCCTTTCTAGAAGTGATATCAAATTTGATTATTGCACTAAGCTGCTGACTGATATTGATTCTTGCAAAGAGAACATCAGACAATACCAATGTATGTTATCAGGTATACTTACAGAGAATAGAAATAGATTACTTGTACAATTACAGATATTACTCATATAAAGTACACAAATATGACATGTACAATTGGCAACATTAGCAATGTTATATAAACATACATAAATGATTTGTTTAGAGCAAGACGTACATACATATAGACGTCAAGAAAGCATGCATAGATAACAGATGACATGTACATATAATTATATGGTCATTATATAGACTAAGTTACTTCTTCATGCCATGCAGATTATGAAAAAAATATCAAATACCCTTTTGTCACCTCAGTGCCTATTATTATAACGTTTGCAATTTGTCAATCAAGAATGTTATCTTTTAGGAAAAGAACGGAAGCTAGAATGATCATCTTACGTAAGGTCTAAAGCGTTATGATGACATTGGGTCTGTAATCTTATTCTTTCAGGATATCATATTCATAGCACGATTCTCTCTCCCCACATCCGCCCAGGCCAGAGGATAGAGTTCCACAAACATTGTTTAATTTATGAGCAATCAATCAAAACTAGTGTCATAGCTGAGTTGCATACACCTTGAACCGAAAACCACTTGGCAAAAGTTTGCAAGGATAATCGGTTTTAGTGGTATGGTTCAATAGGACGATACAGTGAGTGTTCAAATACTCGAATATACCTACTGTGAAAATGGTCATGGTATTGAGCCCTACTCAGTATTTTGGTGCAGATACACTTGTTAGTATCTTGCTGACGTTTTTAGTTCTTTGGGTAACATAGTAGCATACTATAAACTGAGTCGGTATGCATATTATGTGTTGTGAATGAAATGGGTCTCTGTTTACTGATATCATTGAAACCAACAGGGCTAGGCCTAATCAATACTAAGTCAACCAGGTTAAATAAGGAGTTCTGTATACTGTATTATATATACACCACTATCACAAGGGTTAAGGTAGTATAATTCCCGTACGTTATGAAACCCCACAATCTTGCTTGTCTATACAGATCAACGCGCCTTCTCTATGTAGTGATTGCCAACGACACTTTTATTATAATCGAATAGTCTGTCTCACAAGGCTAAATAGGGAGTTTCTCTATACCTGTCGTGTAGTGTTCAAATAGTGTTTGACTGTTACTTTGATAAAGGAATGCTATTCAAACAAAAGTAATATTTATGATTCATGCTTGACTTTGATAAGAGTGTATTTGTGTGTTGTTATATAGAAACTGGAAAAACATTGGGATTGTTTACTTTTTACATACCATTGATCTTTTGGAAGGTTTTGAAATCACTTTGATAAGAAAAAACAGTTACGGATCCTCCCTCCCCCTTTTGCCCAACTAGAATCACTAGATTTGAAGAATTCTGATAAACAAACCATTCTCTGGCACAATTTTTTTACGACCCGTTGACACTTGTATACAATTTTTGGTTTTTCAGGTTTGGATGTTCTCTATTTGTATGTAAAAATAAAATCATAATAATATCACTATAATATAACTATTTGTATTAAAACTCTAGCTAGCATATCTTATTCGTTGAATTTTATATTAATTTTTAATGCACACTTTCAATATCTGAGTAGTCATGGGCGGGAATTTAACTATCATATGATTTAGGGCAAGTTTAAACATGAAAGTGGCGGTAAAGAAACTAAAACGTTTGGACTAATTATCAAATTTCACAATATTTAGATATCCTTTAAACACTGCAATATTTTACATACCTTGTGGTGGTGTAATGTAAAACAGATTTTGATAGAATTTCCAAAAAGAAAAGGAGATGGGGGTCATTTGTTTAGTTTTGTATAACAATTTTCTCTTGGTATACATTCAGGTATTTTGTTTCCCCGGCATGGTCATTTCATCTAAATTAGAGTGACTTGATCTCAGAAGTCTTAATCTGAAAAGTCTGAGATTATTCAAATTTTGTTTATTGCCATTATTGCTCGACATTCACTTGTTTGATATTAGTTCGATTCTTGTAGTTTTTTTGTTCTTCATCAAAACGAAGACAGCATTCTATATTTTAAAGTCGAATGTCATTTTAGCCTGAATGGGGAAAATTCGAGAACAGGATCACTAAATCACATTAAATTTCTAAATCGGAACTTATTAAGGTCCGTAAATATGGGATATTTCATGCAATATATATTGCAGAAAATGGCAACGAAATAATTTGAAAAGATCAAATGTTGAAGAAATTAAAAAGTTAAAAAGTATTGATTGTTGATGATTGATTTTGGTGGTTGGTGTTAGTTACCACGTTATTGATTTAATATCAATATTATTCAAATCAATCAGATAATGTCCTTAATGACAATTTCATTACTTTCTTAACAATAGAGCGAGACTACTAATGTACATTACAATAGGAATGAGTGACTAAGGTAATCGAGACTAGAAGTATTAGCTGGGTGTCCAGATAAAGAAACAGTGATTGAAAGTGTGTTTACGATTTGTTTGTATGTGTTGTCCTGGGGACTCGTGAAACACATATAAAAGATCAAGAGAGCCTAGCCCTAATCATTGCCTTAGAGGGTCAACCAACACACAAGTCATAAAAAGTTAAAGTCAAAATGAGAGAAATCGTCCACTTACAAGCTGGCCAGTGCGGCAATCAGATTGGTGCCAAGGTAAGATTTAGAATTTTTTTTTTTAATTTTCTGCTCCGCCACCAATGATTTCGGAATATTTTTATACTTTTGTAACAAAAACTGCTAGTATGTCCGATGGCACACAACTGCCCTGGTGCAGATACCATGGTGTAAAAAATAATCTGCAATATCCCAAAACGCCGTCAGTTTTGAATTTTTAAAATGAAATCCTAATTGGAAAGATATGCAGTGTGAAAAAGTAGATTTCGATTTTAGCTGAATACTTTGATCCAACTGCAAATTAAACAGAATTAAATGGAAATTTATAGAAGCGCTCATAGATTTGACCATTGATATCTCTTTTTACATTTTTTTCGCACAAGAATGAGAATATTATAAATTTTGATAAGCGTTGACCTAAATATTTGAAAAATGAAAGTATTTGGCGGGTGACATGCTCAGACATGATTGTTGAATACAAATGAGCAAGCTAGCAAGGCAATGCAAAATAATATACTATATTAGTATAAGAAATCTTATTTATTCTAAGAATGTACAAATGATTTGATTGGCACCTGATTTTATATTCTAAATTTCATATACTAGTTCTGCAATTCCATTAATTTGAATTATTATATTTCAGTTTTGGGAAGTTATCTCAGATGAACATGGTATTGACCCAACTGGAACTTACCACGGTGACTCCGATCTTCAGTTGGAGAGAATCAACGTTTACTTCAACGAAGCTACAGGTAATAATTCGAAATTCTTATATAAGATAACTAACAACTGATCACAAATTAACATAGTTCAGCAACATGTCGACAGCATTAGTAATGGAACTGGTTATAAGTACTGATTATTTCAGTAGATGTAATGGATTGTTATTACCATAACTTTTAATTCAAGGATGTTAATTTACATGGTTAAATCTCTAGTATATCGGAATCAAATTTCAAAATTTCGATTATGTTCTTTCAGGTGGCAAATATGTGCCAAGAGCCATCCTTATCGATTTGGAACCCGGAACCATGGACTCAGTCCGATCCGGTCCATTCGGTCAAATCTTCAGACCCGATAACTTTGTTTTCGGACAGTCTGGAGCTGGAAACAACTGGGCCAAAGGTCACTACACCGAGGGTGCTGAATTAGTCGACTCAGTTCTCGATGTTGTCCGAAAGGAATCAGAAAGCTGTGATTGTCTCCAGGGATTCCAGCTTACACACTCCCTTGGTGGTGGAACTGGTTCTGGTATGGGAACTCTCCTCATCTCCAAAATCCGAGAAGAATACCCAGACAGAATCATGAACACCTTCTCTGTTGTACCTTCACCAAAAGTAAGTATTTTACTTTATCAAGCTTGATAATTACTTCCTTGTGGTCTTAAAAAATATTTTGAAATTCAGACAAATCAGGGTAGTTTTGCAAAATGACTTTATGAGTGCGAAGGACCTTAGTGTATTAGCTTGTAACGTGATTAAGTAGAAATAATAAGCAGTGAGTAACAACCGCAAATTGATCGTCATTTTGTAATTTCAGGTATCTGATACTGTTGTCGAACCTTACAACGCCACCCTCTCAGTTCATCAACTGGTTGAAAATACAGATGAGACCTACTGTATTGATAACGAAGCTTTGTATGATATCTGCTTCAGAACCTTGAAGCTCACCACACCAACATACGGTGATCTCAACCATCTGGTATCCGCCACCATGTCCGGAGTCACCACCTGCCTCCGATTCCCAGGTCAACTGAATGCTGATTTGAGAAAATTGGCTGTCAACATGGTTCCTTTCCCACGTCTCCATTTCTTCATGCCCGGATTCGCCCCTCTTACCTCAAGAGGCTCCCAACAATACAGAGCCTTGACTGTTCCAGAACTTACCCAACAGATGTTCGATGCTAAGAACATGATGGCTGCCTGCGATCCAAGACACGGCCGTTACCTCACAGTTGCTGCCATGTTCAGAGGTCGTATGTCCATGAAAGAGGTCGATGAACAGATGTTGAACGTCCAGAACAAGAACAGCAGCTACTTCGTTGAATGGATCCCCAACAACGTTAAGACTGCAGTCTGTGACATTCCACCACGAGGTCTTAAAATGTCAGCTACCTTCATTGGAAACAGCACTGCCATCCAAGAATTATTCAAGCGAGTCTCTGAACAATTCACTGCTATGTTCAGGCGAAAGGCTTTCCTCCATTGGTATACTGGTGAAGGTATGGATGAGATGGAATTTACCGAAGCTGAATCCAACATGAACGATTTGGTATCCGAGTACCAACAGTACCAGGATGCTACAGCTGAGGAGGAGGGTGAATTCGACGAAGAAGAAGAAGAACAAGAACAGATGTAAACTTGAACTTGAAGAAACGTCCTTGACCCTAATTCATAAAATTTGTTCTGTCTTTTGTTTGTCCCTATTTGTGTTTGTATTGTCGTTCTTGACTGAGAACAAATTTCAAATTGCAGTTACGTGACTATAAAGCTACGCATCTCAGCTACAACAACCAAAGAACAATCATGATCGATTCCATCTTAATTTATCTTTCATCTTCCATTTTTGTTACCTTATATATGTTTGTTTTGTCCGAATAAAATAAATTAAACGTTTAACAAATAAAAGCTCAGAACAAGTGTATTGTCTTCTGCGAATAAAACCAACTAGGATACAGACGAGGGCTAACCAAAGATTGTTACCTCCATCCTCAGTCACAATGAGAATCCAAACGGTAGTTTAGCTGAAGATTTATCAGCAATAATCGAAATATCGAGGCTCACTACTTTCTTGTTGAGAAAGTGGACGGAGAGCGATCTGCTATAACGTGAGAATTTAGCACGACACAAACATTTCAAATTTAGATCTTTGACTATGACTTTAAGTGCACTGTTCAGATCACAGATAAAATAAGCGGGCGTCTATTCCCGATACAAATGAACTCGTGGAAACTACTGTCTTTCCAAGAATACATTGATCAAGCTAATCATCATTGTGCTTCCGGTCTTAAGACTAAAGTTGCTCTTTTATTCCTAGAGAGTTCTCTGTAGGGGCCTTAATTAATGATCGCGAAGAATTTCGCTCCCAGTCATTTGCTTGTATAAACTAGCCATTTCCAGTGATATAAAGTAATAACAAAATAGAATAAAATGATACTTTGGAATCAAACATCAGATCCACGTTAACTTGATCATATATGGAATTCTCGTTGATGATAGATATTGATGATCCTCTTTCCTACCACTGGAACAAAGGCAAGATTTCCTTCAAAACTTAAAAGTTTATCAACCCAAACTAACCGAACTGATTGTCTCTGTATACTGAAAATACATGTTTTGTTATTGGTTTTGGGTCTAGTTCATCTGACACTCTCCAAAACAAGAAGAAGAAAAGATAGAACATATTCAAAGGACGAAAATCTTTAAACACTAAACTACTGAATCATCTTTCAGTGATGACTGAAGATGAACAATACTCTCAGGGACTTCACCTCACAACCCCAGACCCCCTGTCATGACAAATTAAGATGGTGTTGGATTAGCCCAACCTAAGGGGTGGATACCGTACAATTATGGAAATAGCTGGCCTTTTACCGAGCGATTAGCTGCTCAGTTGGTAGCCTAATTATTGACTCTGTCTTCAATATTGCTTGTAGGCTTATCTTCATAGAATACTCGCTCACCCATTGTATTACACGGTGTCAATTTTCTACAAGTTTTTGTGTTGTCGCTCTAATTTACTCAAAATTTGTGACCATATCCAAACTTCTTTTGTCAGTTTTAAACATTGTCTTTATCAGTACTATGGATATCATTTTTATATTGCACAATATCACTAAAGATCAAATAATTTTCATTCATTTCTAGAATATAATGATCGATCACCTTTAAATAAACTTCAGGTATGTGTTGTTGTTGTTTTACACTTTCTTTGTCTTTTTTCTAGCAAAATGCCTTGCCATTCAGATTTCCTCCGAATATTGACAGTTTGGAATATTAAACACTAGCGTACAAGTGTTTCTTTTTTATTTTTCACATCGACCAAGTACTACATTAATCGAACAACCAACCCGACAAGGGATTACCGAAAAAAATGAAAAAAAGATAACGATCCGGTTAGTCAAAATTTAGCAGAATTTATTTGGACACGAGTGAAGCACCACCGATCAAAAACACCTTCCATGTTACATATTATAGAAAGTTGAGAGAAATAAGAAAAGACTATCATTGTCTCGGCTGTCAAGTTGTGTTCACAAGAGCTGACGCCCCGTCGAGACTAAACTTAAAGTGACGATGGTGGGATTGCCGAGGACAGTAGAGCTTCGATTTCCCGCGTTACAAATTATTGGTTTAACTGACCACAAAAACGGAATATAAAGTTAAAGAAGAGGCAGTGGGAGCGTCTACAGAGCTACATGCATTGTAATGGTTTGTTTATTTCTATCAAGTCAGGGATGGCAAGATTAATTTCAAATATATTGATCTCCCATATTGACTATTTGCTGATTGAGTACAGATCAATACATGTACATGTCATCCGCGCACGTTTTTATTGACATGGTGATAAATAATTCGCCTATAAAAAATACTGAGCCAAAATGTGCAGATTCTGTGGGTTTTTTTTTAAATTCATAAAAGCATTGAACACGAATGACGTCTGTCTGCTAGTAATCAACAATGCTGTTATAAACGAATTATTTCGATAGTTTATGTTTGAATTTTTAATGACACAAAACAGTGTGACCTGATTTCAGTACCAAATTGGTCCGGGTCCATAAACTTAAGCCACTGTGCATACTCGGTATTTGAAGTATCTTGAATTGACTGTTTAAGGACAACGGTTGGATAAAATTATAGACTCGCACACTTTAAATATAAGATATTTAATAATGACCCCGACTGAGATTCGGTAATGTAGAAATTACTTTAAAACTCCGGGGCTTTTAGGCATTTAAATGTTATTTTAGACAACTCGCAGTCTTTTATCATCTCCCGTCAAAAACAAGTATTTAAGATGAAAATTGTCGAGACTTCTATCTCTAATTACATCTGAGAGCCTAAAGCGAACAGCTCACCCAACCCCTCATTTTCACCACAGCTCCCTTTTAAGACAATTTGCCAGGTGCATCGAGTAAAAAGGCTGCGAGAAATTGTAGTTTCCCACAATACTTTTAACAGACTTTTGTATGAGTACAGCGGTGTTCTTTTTATCAATTGCTTGACTATGACAGAAATTTGGCCATCAAGGCAGGATAACTTTGAGAATATTATTTGAATTGGGATAAACATAGTTTTGACTTTCTCCTTAGCACCTACATAATATCTAATTTTACACCATAACGTGCTTGGTGTAAATGCGATGGTTTGATACCAAATCTGAAATGCGTGGCAGACAAGATGACTACCTGCAGTAGGAACATCTCGGTTGCTCAGTTCCACCAGGTATCGTGACAGGTCCATAACCTTTGGATAATGAAATTGTTCCATTAACCAGATGATCTATATAACCGTACTGTCATATCAATATTTAAACTAAACAGTTATTGTCAAATACTTAAATTAATTGATGATAGCCTCGATCATGCTGTATATTACACTGATTAATTAAAGCATAAAGAGAACTCGTTGATAGAGACTACAGAGAATATAGTTGAAAATAGCAGCGATAAAAAACAAGTTGTTCATATTAACTATTGTTAGATCTGATATCTAATCTCAACCCGAGTAAATTGATTCGACATTACAACTATCATTTAGACCGAGTAATAAAAGCCGAATCGGAAACAAATTAATTTGAATCTCCGAATTCACCACAGGAGTACACACAAAACAATGACGTCAAACAAAAGATAGATCTCATGGGAAGGTCACGTGATATAGGAGCATGCCGGTATTTCAATTTATTTTTCTCTAATATTGCGTTTTGTGTTTGTTCTTTTGTTAATAAAAATAACAAATGGCATTCAATATGAGCCGAGTTTCAATTTATACTGTGTTGTTTTTACATGGTTGAACAATAGAAACGAGGTGATTCAACACGAATAGGACATAGAAGTTTTTATACATGCCTGTACTATTTTCCTGGTTTAATGGGTTTCTATTACTAGCCATCTCTACATAATACATGGTAAATAGAGGCGAGGGTAAAAGCAATATGGGACCCTGGTCGAAACAATTACTCCGTAATGGGATCTTGATGAAGTCTTTATAGACAGATAATCCGAAATTCCCTTACCACGTCGAATTTTTTTTTATATCAATCCGAAACATGACTCTCGATATTTTGCTTCGTTTTCTCATTTATAGGCTTCGCGAATAACTTTTGTGAAGAGTTTTTCTGGGAGTAGCATGTTTATGGTGCCTGCAATTACAAATAAGCAACAAAGGGAAGCTTACATGATTCCATGATATAAGTTTCAATGGCTCATCATTGTACAAAAATATAGAACCAGGAATTTGGACTAAAAAAAAATTTTTTTAATCTCCCTTGCGTCCAAAAAAATTCACATTCGATAATCCTCGGCAGTTTCCATAAAGTTGAATCTGAGCTCTCACGGAAGCCATTTGTACCGCGATATGTTACAGAGCGCTAGCGTAATTTTCACTTAGCCCCATGGAAAATTCACTTACCGGGTGTTTTCATCAAACGAAGTCTGCACCCCTCGGTCTTCATAAGGGGGATTTAAAGGTTTGTGTGAGTTTTGAATAAATATCATCCATTTGATGTAACTCACTCATTGAAATACTTTTGAGATGTTTCGGATTAAAGAAGTCGACATTCAGGTTTGAGTTAACTCCCCTGGGACCGACTAATCTTTTATACTGGCCAGTTGATTGAAACAATATTGCACATTTTATTGTTTAGTCCGGTTCCATTATAAGAGATAATATTGGCTTATTGTTTTCTTTCTCTCAGACTTGGTATCCTTTTCCTTCTTGATTGAATCCGTTGAAGCGTTTTTTTCTTATGGTGTCTTAAGAAAACTATTCCGTAGATGATGATTAATTCTAATCGTTCAATGAAATGACAGATAGATATACAGATGGTAGACTGGTAAACAAGAGTCGTTGACTAAAGATAGGAATAGTAGATTGATAGATAGGAATGGTTGTAGACTGAAAGATAGGAATGGTAGATTGATAGGTAGGAATGGTAGTCTGATAGATAGGGATGGTAGTAGGCTGATAGGTAGGAATAGTAGACTGATAGATATGAATTGTAGATTGATAGATAGGAATGGTTGTAGACTAAAGATAGGAATGGTAGATTATAGGTAGGA